ATTTTACTTTTTATGGTGAGAACCTTTAAGATTTGCTCTATGAAGAGCTTTCAAAGTATATGAAACAGTACAGCTAACTAAAGTCACAATGCTGTCCATTAGACCCTGGAACTTACTCATCTCGTAACTGGGAATGTGTGCCCTCTGACCAACATCCCCCCATTTCCCCAGCCCCGAAAGCCCCAGCAGCCACCAATCTATGCTCTGCTTCTGTGACTTCTGCTTTTTACGATTCCACATATACGTGAGATCATACCGCATGTCTTTCTCTGCCTTCTTTCACTTAGCATAGTTCTTTCAAGGTCCACCCCTGTTGTCACAAATAGCGTATCCAACCTTGTCACAAATGGCTTATCCAACCATGAGAAAGAAGGAACCACTCACCTTAATCTCAACATATCAAAATCTGATGTCCTCAAACTTCACCAATGTCATAACCACACACACACAGAAGAAGAAAAGATCCTTACTTCCGTTGCAGCCCTGTCCATCTTAGTGTCACCTCTACTCAGACAAGACTCAGAAACTGTCTGAGCTCTTTCTTCACACCCTCTCATCCCTTGTCTCATGAAGTCCTGTGGCATCCATCTTCCAAGCACACACAGGTTCGCTTCCTCCACTCCCCCCTCTAGAACGCCATCACTGCTCTCCTGGGGGACGGCGGTCACACTGTGCCTGGAGTCCTCACTGCACGCCTTCCCTCCTACAGCCTACTGCCACCACCGCAGGCAGAGACACGCAGCACGGGTAACACCAGCCTCTGATCCAGCCTTGCAACAGGTCACCACGCTCCTGCCAGTGAACATCCATGTCCTTGAAAAGCACCGCGAGGCCCTACATGACCCTCTTCTGTGAATTCTCGACAGTCTTGCTCACTCCACCCGTCCCAAGGCATCCTGTAAGCCCTTTGCTGAGCCTTGAACGCTCCAGTCACCCTTCAGGGCATGGGCGACGCCCGTTCCTTCTCAGAACGCTCCTCCCCAGAAAGCCACATGGCTTGCTCTATGCGACATGTGACCTTCTCCACAGGCTCGTAAAACACTTTTCACCAAGTATTTCTCAGTATTTTGAATTTCTATTAAGAAAACTGAAAGTCGTGCTGGCAATAGCAAGTGCATCTTGTTCTAATGAGACGTTCTGCTAGCTATTAAGACAAAACCTGTTGGAGTGGTGCTTCTTAAACGCACCATGAAACACCTGGGGCTCTTGTTAAAATGGAAATTCAGATTCAGTGGCTCTGGGGAGAGGACCGAGGATTTGCATTTCTGAGATGCTCCCAGGGGATGTCCATGAGGCAGCTGAGCTACAATGTGAGAGAAGGGCCTTAGAGGATTTTTAAAAAACGTTTAGAAATATGAAGAAATACTGAAATATAAAAAGGAAAGTAAGCTATCTTGTGCTCTCCCTACTCCTAATTTACCACTGGTAACATGTTGGTATATTTGTTTTTCCTTCATCTGGAGGGCTTGTGTATCTCTTTTATGATTCATTAAAACAATTAATAAGCACAAAGCATGCAGCAGTAGTCAGCGCATTGGGCGCTGAGTATATAAAACTAAGGGGAGCCTGAGCCCCCCACCCTACCCCTGGTTCAGCGCGTTTACAGCGATGGGAGTGAAAGAGAAGGCAGGCAGAGGGCAACGCTCCAGCTTCCGTTGCTCGGATGGGACAAGGCACATACCGCCCTGTAAACCTGAAGACTTTGGCAAGTGCCACCACTCAACATTCCGTTCCACACATTAAAAACCCAGACAAGTTCAACAACAGCTCACAATCAACTCAGAGAACTTTGCACATAATTTCCCCATAACATGAATAGACGAGTTTCATCACTGATACTCCGGCTGCATAACGGGTAATTGTACGGCGAAGACAGACACAGCGTCAAACATGGTAACTCAAGAAAAGCATTTCAGGAAGTTCAGTTTGAGTGAGCACACACATCTTGTGGTATTTTGCTTGATTTCCATGATGGAAACAATTTTACTCCGCGGATAGACACAATTACCTCAACTATGACAACCATCTCATTAAAATGGCATTACGTTTTAGCATCAAATTGGATGTTCTGAAAATTGATAAAGGAGCTAATTCATTTCTTTGTTCAGAAAAACAGTCTTTGAACAATGGTTTAACTGGGGCACTGTAAGTCTTTTTTAATGCTTTTGTTTCTGGACATTGCAGACAGCAGTGGCCGGACAGACAGACACGTACAAGAATCACAACCCCTCTCTCCTCACACTACACTGGGGCTGGTCACTTGTCCGCTAACCTCCTTTGCATCCACTCCTTCGCTTCATACTCATGAACCACCTCTGCTAACTGTCTGCCACCGTGCTACGCCGACCCCGGGAACACAGAGACGATTAAGGATACTTCTCCACCTTTGAGGTTCGCAGCTGTAAGAGGAAATCATGTAAGTGGTTAAGTATTAATTCCTCAAGGGAAGGGAGAGGGAACGGAACTGTAGTACTGTGGGCAGAGACTGACCAGACTTATCTGCCAGAATCTTGGTTTTAATAGGTCTTGAAGGATTAAAAAGTTACCAAATGTATTCTAACTTTTTCATTCTCTTGGGGTAAATAGAGGAATTTGATGTACGTGCACAGTATGAAAAGGCTTGGAGACAGTTTAAACATGGCCAAGGTGGAAACAGTCGGGGGGGGGGGTATGTGTGGAAAAAATGAAACCTGAGAAAGTATGAGGCCAGATTTTGACAGACTTTCTTTCTCAATAGAGAGCTTTCCTAGAACAAAGGGACACAGTTTTGCCCAATGGCACCAAAATTGAAATGGGACATTTTAAGTTTATGCAAATTAAACTATTACATTTACAAAGGATAATGAGTGCATTCCTTTGGCAGCATAGGGGGAAAAAAATACCTGAGTCTGGTGCCTACTCACAGGAAGAGTAAGAGAAAAACACCATTAGATTGTGCCCCAAAATGAACGCATCCTTCTGCGAGTCATTCTTCTTGTGGCAGAAAAGCCAGGCAGAAGTTGGAAGCTGAGGTGTTTCTAGAAAGCAGGAATGTCTCCATCTCTTTCATTTTGTAAAAACGTTTAGTTTAAATCTGTAGTAAAGTTTTGAATATATTTAATAAAACTGTCTTGCTTGCACTTTGATGAAAACTAGCAATCCTTCCCATCACTTTTCTCCACCTCTAGAAATCGAGAGTCATGCTGTTTCAATTACTTTACCTCTTTATTCAGGTATTTACTTTCTATTTTTCAAATAGCAAGCAGATGCTATCTTTGAATGTTTCAGCTTTAGAAATTATCTACCTATTATTTATTGACTTCTGTCTATTACCACTTCCACTCAAATACTTTTCTTCTCCTAGTCCCTACCTTCATATAACCATCACAGGTATTAGCTATTCAGTATACTTCGTTTATATTATTAAAGTTGTCTATCTATTATTCACAGCCAAACCAAGTAATGCACAGTGATTGCATGCTCATTGTACAGCTCTTTGGTTTTCCTGGAATTAGTAATTGCTTTTACTTATAAGCTTGCCTAATTTTTATTTAGTTCTTGTTGAGTTATAACCAATTTCTCCCACAGAAGCATACATCTGTTCCCAAAAATATTCAGACACATCTTTGTCATCTTGAACCACTGGATAGACTCTCTCCAGACATGGTATGTAGCTCCCATACTGATATTTCTCTTCACATTAACTTTTGCAATTTCTTTGGCTTCTCTCTCATCTTGACACTTCTCTCATAGACATTATGTCTTTGCCTTCAACTGTTTGTCTTTTGGTAAAGCATACTTTTTAGTACTTCCTTCAGAAAAGAGAATATTTTTGAGATTTTTCAATATCTGCAAATATTTACATTTCAGACTTGATTGATAATTTTGCTCAGTATTGGATTCCAGGTGAGGAATAATTTTCTGATGGGTTTTTGAAGGTGCTGCTCCACTGGCTTCTAGTCTCAAGCATTTGTTTACAAAGTTCCATAGCAACGTGATTACTGATTATTTTTATGTCAAGGTAGAGTTTCTTGACCTTGCAAACTGCAAATTAGGTTAAATTCTTCATTCAAAATCATCAATAGTCCAGTTCATTCCCCATCTGTCTACCAGCAGCTGACAGCAGAATTCCTCTCTTGAGAAACAGATCAACCCACAGGAAAAGAACTTTGGATGCTTTGACTGGTGGTACCATAGCAAAAATCCATGGTCTCTACTGAGTTACTCTATTGTGAAGTCCACCATAAGAAAACTGAAGCTCAAGCTGACATTTTTGTGTCACTCTCGAAATGGACTGATCAGTTCAGGATGACCAAACAGTGTAAGTTTTAACACGATGAATAGACCAAGCCAAACAAAAAGGAGCGAAAATAGGAACTCAGAGGGAACAGAAATTTATCCTTAAAGGAAGAATTTCTTCTTCTTTTATCTTCTAAAGTTGGATGCTTTGTGCATTAATTTAGAGACTTTCTTCTTACAAACAGAGCTAGGTGAGCATTACGGTATAAAATGTTAAAATATGACATCTTTCTGGACAAAGGTGAGGAATATCTACTAAAATAAAATCAGCATAAAGGTAAGATGCATTGGATGATCAAATGAGATTCACTGTGAAGTCTTACCTGGCATGGAACTTTACTCATAATTGGATGCTGGTGACTCCAGACTTGCCTTCCCACACAGGCAATCTGTTCTTGTTTCCTCTGACACTCTGCCCTTGGTTTAACATACGCGCTCTCTTACTGAGTTAAGGGAACATCCTCCACACAGAAGGGAGCTACTGCTTGCATGAAACATCTCCTTTTTTGCTCAGTTAGTTACATCGCTTCTGCAACAGCTCCTGGGGAGGATGTCCCTAAACTCAAATGATACTAGGTAGGCCAGTTACATTGTGATGGAAGTGGACAGATACAGACTCTCCCGTTAGGAACCACCGTTTCAGCGTCTGCCAAGAGCTCTGACAGTGATCTGATATTCTCTAGGGAGAATGGCCCTGGTCTCCTTTCTTTCTTTTTCTCAGTATCTTTAGTCAGAAAAGAAAATGGGTCCCCAGACTGCCACTAAGCCTTTCTTTTCCATATGTGTTAAAATTTTGGCATTTTTTTTCTGAACGATTTTTCTTTTATTTTTAAATTTTCAAACATCAAAAAAAATACAGAGAGTTAGTCAAGATTCAAGTGTTCAGATACCTTTAGGAAGTTAGATGAGCTAATATCAGTAGTTTAAGACAAGCACAAGAAAGCAATAGTAGAAAAGTTTCCTGGGGACTTCTTATGAGGAATAGGCACTTGTCCAATACAAAAAAAAAAAAAATTGGAGATTGTTCTGGACATATCCTACTTCTCTGTTTAACTCTATTGTCAAAAGGTCTGGAAATACCCATATTGTCTTCAAATTTCTTCATCTAAGCACTGGTGATGAAACAACTTCTGATTCCTTTTCACTTTAATCGTTGTTGCAGTTTCTCTTCAGCTGTTACCCTATACTTAGAGAATTTATGGGCCACCAAATGGTCCACACGTGTTTCGGGTTATCACACCCACCGAGCGTTCTCGTCCAGCTTTAGCGCGTGAAACCCACTGCAGCAGTCTCGGGCACTGGGAAACCATATTCTCACAAACAGTAGCTGTTCCTGCAGTCAAACTGCATAGGGGGCCAATGAATCACCAGACTTCTGACCTAGGAAAAGCGGCATAAATCAATGGTGCTCTGTAAATAATGTATTAGACTGGATACTCAATAAGTTTCACACTGAAGTCTGGGAGGACGGGGCCTTGGGTCCGGCAGAGTAGAGATTAATGAGGCTGTGTGTATTTCCTGCTCTGTGGGTAAATAACTCAATATTTGCCAAGAAAGCATTGATGGAAAACAGTAGACCTTGCATTTACGCATTCTGTATTTTGAGACCATACTCAATAGAAATTAATTAAGTGCTACAGTATCTATGATTAAATACATCTTTAGGGTAAACTACAAAAGTCACTAAAAAGGAAATGGAAGAAAAAGGAAGCAAATTCTGAGCAGCAGTAGCAGAAACAAAAACAAACTAAGCTGTGAGCACAGCCATTCGAAGCACGTCAAGAAGAGCCCCGTGTCCCTCATAGTTGTCATGCTCTTGTGTCGTCTAATCAGTACCTGCTGGGGCTTGTTCCTGTTTCCTCTAGAAGGAAAGCCCGAGGCTGGTGGGACGGAGGTCTCGAAGACAGGATAAAAGACGTCCAGATAAAGGGAAGAACGTGCGGGAAGACCGACTTTAACTGCATACGACGCTTAGGTTCTCCACGCACTAGACGCGGCCGGACTCTCGGCACCGTCACTCGTCACCCCCCGACCTGCCCAGTCCAAGTGTCAGCCCTACAGCCGTTCCGCACTCTGCTCCAGACCACACAGTAGGAGCTTTGCAGCGGGCTGGGTGCAGGACACAGGGGAGGGATTTCAGTGCAGCCCCCACGTGGCCCCGGAGGGTGGCCAAAGGCCGTAGCTCTTCTGCAGGCCTGTCTGCCGTACGCTCTGCTGAGTGCCTCACATATAGTCCCCGAGGCCTTCTGATCTCTATCCCACAGCGGGTAGAATGGCAGCCAAGAGGCAAAGGGCTCAACGTCTTTCTGTCGCAGCGCCCTCCCACCAAAGCCGAGATGCAAATGTAAATCCCACGATGTCATGGTGCCTGAGTTTTGCTTATGTAATAAACTGGGATCTTCTTACATAGCAAGGACGGGGCACCAGAATGCACACCTATTTCATATTAAAATTTTATAAAAATATCCTTGTATTTCTCTAAGAAATGACAATGATATGGGGAAATTAATATTGCTGTGGCATTCTAATTCCCTCATAAGAATGCTTAATAGTATTAAAATGTGTCCTGTACATGCAATGTTTGTGCCCCCCCTCCCCCAGATTCAGATGTTGAAGTCCTAGCCCCCCGCCATGTGATGGCATCAGGAGGTGGGGCCTTTGGGAGGTGATGAGCTCGTGAGGGTGCAGCCGCATGAATGGGGAAGTGCCCTGACAAAAGACCCCAGAGACAAGACACAGTGAGAAGATGATGAACTGAGAAGCAGGTCCTCGCAAGACACTGAATTTCCTGAAAATGCAATCTCAGGCCGCCCAGCCTGCAGAAACATTAGAAATAAATGTCTGTTGGCCATAACCCACAGAGTCTATGGGACTCCTTCAGAACAGCCCAAATGAGCTAAGACAAGAGTTTGGGCTTTTGATGAACTAGGACACAAAGCACCTATGAAGACGTTTAGGCCAACACGGGGCTTGTGTTCCAAATGGATTTAGTTTCTACCCACTTGTAAATGCATATCGGAAAAGAAAAGCCCGAACTGCAGAAAATGAAGCTAAATTGGTTAGTTCCCCCAACAGTAAGCCTGTAAAAATATATATAATTTTACTTTTGTAAGGCTGACTTCTTACTCTATATAAATTCATGTACCCCAGTTTAAAGATGCACAAGAAATGATACAAAGAAAAGAGGAAACCAGTGACAGAGCAGTAGGAAAACACAGGAAGGGAGTAAATTTAGCTAAAAGTGGGCAGTTGATGTGGTTAGAATGAGGCTAAACAGCAAAAGTGAAATGCCAAACTAAAAATAATGAGCAAACCTGCACATGAACTGGGACGGTGAATTAATAAGCACACACAACACATCGCATACAACTCAGATTAAGTATGCTGGGCGAGCAGAGGGGGAAGAAGTGTGAAGATGGAACAATGGAATAAAATGTGTAACACCGCCAGCTCCAGATCAGAAAACGTCACCTCTAAGGATTCTGATTTTGGTAAATAGAGGAAAAGTCAAATAGAAAAACTTACATGGTTAGATTCAGTGATTATTTTACACCAGAAATCTCTGAAATTCCATCTTAAACACAGGATGTTGTTATTCAAAGTTGTTTTCCAAAAATATTCATTTGTCTCACTGAATAAATGTATGTCTACTTTAAGAAACTGGAAAATAATTTGTTTACTTAGAGAATCCAGAATGAGGCCAAATGAAGGCAAGAGCGGATCTCCATACAATGAAAACCCAATAAAACAATTACAGAGTATCACCTTCAGGTTCCATTATGTTTAAGCCTCACAGGTGGTACAGTCAGTGTGAGTATCAGCCACACTGTAACTGCACGTGATGAATTAAAAGAACAAATGCACATTAGCTGTCATCTTCGCATTCCAACCTTCTGGTAAATCTACCTTCAAGATGTTCCCCTTCAGCCGAATGACGTATTTATGTGGATTCAAAATTCCCGTGAGCATTAATGGAAACTCTGATGCTGTAATGAATGCAAAATCAGGATGTTAGAGTGACCCATTAGATGCTGTTATTTAATTTATTCCTAAAATACATAATACTGCTTTGCCGTGGCTATTCCAACCCGGGTAATTGGTTGCAATTAAAATAATGAGATATTCTAAATAATGACACCCGCAGTACCAGCGCAGAGTGATGTGTCATTTATAATTCCTATATCATTTTTATGCTGATACACTTCTTCCTAATTATAATAATCTCTGAGCTAACAGGAATACATTTCGTCAGATGCATTATATTCTGGAGGAATTATTTCACATTAACATAGTTAATCTGACTGCACCTAAAAAAATAATGTGAACATGAAATTTGGAAAGTGAACTTTGGAAAACTGTTTGGTGCTACCTACAACCTGAATACAAGCTTACTCTGTAACCCAGCATTTGCCCTCCTGGGTGAATATGCAGCATAAATTTCTATGTGTTTTCACCAAAAGACATGTGTGGGAATGGTGACACTGCCACTCTGTAGTATTTTTAAGCTACAGACTTTTGAGAATAAAATTAAGGCCTTCTCTCTGACCTGCTTGAGTTTGGAAGCAGTGATGACGCTTTGGGAATTGGATAGGGGCACTTCGTGGCAGAATATTTCCCTATTACTTGTGATTTAAAGCAGGTTAGTTCAAACTACTAGGTATAAAATAAATAAGATACAAGGATATAGTGTACATTCCAGGGAATAGAACCAGTATTTTATAGTAACTTTGAATGGAGTTTAATCTTTAAAAATATAAACCTCTATGTTCTACCCTTAAAACTCATATAACATTGCAAATCAACTTTGCTCTAATTAAAAAAAAATAGTTCATATCCTTGATAAGATGATAGTTAATATTAGGCAGGTACTATTTATTGAAGGCTGTGTGTAAAACCAGATATCCTGGTTGCCTGTGTGAACAATGTTCTAATTAGCTGACATGTATGAACTCCGTTAACCTTGAAAACACCTTTATGAAATATTATTATGCCTTTTTAAACAGCAAGAAAATGAGATCTCTTGATCAAAGTCAAATGAAGAGTGAATGACAGGTGCTATGAAGAAAACCAACCAGGAAAATGTTCCGGAGGCTGAGTGGTAGGGTTCCTTCATATTGTATGCCTAGGCCTGGCTTTTTTGAAGTGACACCGAAACTAACACCTGAAGTTAAGAAGGACTCAAGACATGTAGACGTACCGGGGAAGATTATTCCAGGCAGAGGGAGCAGCTCTGTAGGAGTTAGTGGAGCGTGTCTGAGGAACTGAAGAAGCAGCCAGTGGAGCTGAAAGGTCACGTTGGAGAGGTGGGGGGTGGGGGTGACCCTGGAGAGGGCACTAAAGGACGTCACCTAAGGCCCTTCAGGCCAGACTGTCGGTTCTGCTTCCACTGAAATGTGATTGGAAGGACTAGACGTTCTGAGCAGGAGTGGTAAGTCACAACCCAAACCATGGAATTCTTGGTAAATGGATCCTGAGTTGTATCAAGAGGAAGAGTGGTGGCTGGGAGACCGCGAGGAAGCTCTCGTAACAACAAAGATGAAATGACGGAGGCCTGGGAAAGTATCACCAGTAGAAATGAAGGCAATTGGATAGAGCTGGGTTGGAACTTAAAAGGAGAGTTGACAAGGATTATTAATAGTCTGTGAATGGAAGGGGGACGAGAGAAAGGAATCAGATGCGTAAAGCTGGGTCCTCAGGCTGTTTACCGAGATGGAGACACTGGGACAGAGGGGTGTCCTTCAAAGCAGCAGAGGAGGAGCCACGATATACATGAGTTTTTGCAACAAAGACCAGGTAGTTGGAAGATCCAGAGATTACAGTGAGTTAGCCAGATATCTCAAGTGAAGGACCTTAGCACTTTTCTGTGTGTGGGAAGGTGCAAAGGGTCAAGCTCACTGAAACCATTCTTTGATACGCGCCTAGCTGTCCAGGGCCAGTATCCTGTTCATTCACACCCCGAGTTCCTCGGGGCACCCTTGAGGGTGGAAGCAGAGGCCTGGCGGCCTGCTGGCCTCCTGAGCTGGCTCCGGCTCGCTGTCAGGGTGGCGGTGGTGCCTGATGGTTTGGGGGCCACAGCATCCTTTGTTTACTGATATACGGCAGGCAGTGTTTTTCATCCACATTCTGAATATAGTTTTTGCACATGTTTCTTCTTCCTTGGTGTCATTACCCTTCACAGATGTGACGTGTCACTGACCCCTGAGACAGAATTATGTAGGTGTCTCCCCTTCTGCTGAGTCATCTCAGGAAAGAAACACGGTCCACTGTGGGATGCCCACGGATGGGTTTGACAGGGAGGCTGCTTTATGTCCCAGAATTGTAGCCTCAACAGAACCGAGGAAAGGACTCTGGACACCCCCAAGAAACCTGAGACTCTCAGGGAGACAAGCATTAACAGCCTCAATAAAAGACAGTCACGTCCGTTCATTCGATGCCCATATACGCTGACAAACATAACGTGCTGCGCCAACTCCCAGACGAAGACAAAGCCCAAAATGAAAACAAAAAGAATAAATCAGGACGCAACCCATCAGAAACCCTGGTGGAACTCGGTGCTCCCAGGAATGCAGACTTCAGTTCCCTGAGCAGCTTGGGTGGAGAATTTAGGTTGACATGTATTGCAAGAGAAGCCAAAGAGATTCATTGCTCTCCTATTTTCTTTTGCTCATAAGAGAAAACACACATTTATTTGCAGAAACACATCTCTTCCTTCCCCTGAGCCCCTTGCCAACTCCCAAACTAAAATTCAAGGAATGTTTTGTTGTGTGGGCTGTTATGAGCGACAGATATGTACAATAATGCATCTGCAAATTACAAAACCTCTACTCATACAGGAATCTCTCTACAGAGAGATTCTGTAGAGAAAAGACGGGCAGAGAATATCCAGCTGTCTCTCAGGAGACACGTTCTGGAAGGTCCAGGAAGTGTGCATGCCTGATACCCCGATAATCTCTGCTGACGCCAGAAAGACTGCACACGTTCAAGCATCAACACCTCAAGTGAAGCTCTCCCCCCACCCCCATCCGCCCCGTAGCCAGACATTTCTGTCTAACCAGGAACTACATTTCTTCTGCAACAATAGATTTTGATCTTGCTGCTGTTTTTAGAACTTTCTCGAGCTGGTATTTGGGGAAGCAGTTTGCCAGGGAGGAAGGAGACCGACAGCACGATTTTTCAGTGTCTTTCTCCGTTTTTAATCCCTACAGTGAGAGGCTGCAGATGCAGAGGTAGCTGGGTGACTCACTCCTGACAATGGCATATGCGACTGCAGGACAGGTTCCTTTCCTCCCTTATTCAAATTGGTATTCTCTGCCGGAGCCAGAGGATTAATGATATTCACCCCCAAACTGCCCCCCTCTCTGAATGCAGAACATAAGAAGGACATTCTCATCCTCATCTTCTGAAAAAGTTTCTGGTTCTGTCAGCAGCACAGCAATACTTCCTCGTCCTTTTTTGACACATTGAAAAAAACTCAAAATGGAAATGATTCATACCTCACACTCCATGTCATCGGCGTGGCCGCTGGAGCTCACACGGCATTAACTTCAGGAACAGCAATGGAAATGTCCTTATGCTAAGCACATGCGACTCTCCGTCAGAGGCCAAGTTCTCTAAATGACAGCCAACTGCCTTCTGGGAAGAGCCGATCTTAAAAACAAACAAACAAACAAAAAAAAGCAAAATTGCTACAAATCTCTGCCCCAGACTAGGCAAGAGGAAATCATTTTACAATAGTTGAATGCGCAGAATGAAACACACTGAAAGGTGGGGATGGGAATGGCAAATTAGAAATTAAAAACTAGCACCTGAGCCACTCCAGGAAGTGAGATAACAGACTACCACCTAATAGCTGAGAATATCTGAGCTCATCTTTACAAAATGCCAAGAAAGGGGAGCCAGCGTTACAGAGTGGTCCGTTCACAGATGGCAAGGCATCTTGTCATATATAAAGTGGCTGTGTTCACACAAAGAATAAAAAGAAGGGGGAAAAAACACCCTATTTTGATATGTCCATTAAATTATTGGGCATGAACTTTCAATTTCATTCACCTTTAAAAAAAATTAAACAGGAGCAATTTTAGCCCAGCATGATCAGAAACGTTCCCAAGAGAAGCTTTCCCTTTGACTAGCTCCCAGCTTTACGCTGTTCAAGGCCAGTGTTTTAGATCTAAGGCCCTTTAATGAGTGACCGCTCATGGCAGGGAGGGGGGACCAGTGATGGAGACGCCAGGGGGAACCATTAGCCCTGATGCTGGCAACTGTTTAGGACTGGGTTTGTAGTCCTTCAGTTACCTTTCTTTTATTTTATACTTCTTTCGGAAGAGCACTTCCCTAAATAATCTACTCACAGCCTGTATCCCAGCCAAGAGCAAGTGGTCATCTCTGTCTCACAAACGGGCTGTGAGTCGATGGCTTCCTGCCATGTCTCCTTAATTTACCCTTTTGTCTGCCTGACTCTCTCCCAACCCTGCCAAGTCCTTCTGTTTCTCTCCGTGCGCCTCCCACACCCACTCCAGTCCATCGTCCAGACTGATCCCCTAAGATTATAAAGGGGGTTGTTTTTATGCGACCGTCCCTCAACCTCCCATGGGCCCCCGTCCTGATTTGAATAAAACCCAACTCCTCCCCCAGGCGATCAGCCACCTGAACTGGCGCCGCTACCTCTCTGAGCGCATCTCCCACAACCTTCCTCTCCCTGCCTCACACCCTGAGCCCTCTGGACCTTTCTGGAACCTCCCGAAGTCTGTCTGTGCACCGTGGCAGTTCCTGGTCCTCATGCTAGAGAGACACAATCCCCACATTTCTTTTCCAAGGTTGGTTCCTCCTAACCATTCTATCCTTCAGTCCACATGTCGCATCCACCACTCCCTTCCTGCGCCAGCTCCCACCAGGTCCTCATTCTCTTCCATTTTCTACAGAGCAGCTGATAAAAACGTCACCCTCTCTCCATCACTCTCCTTCATCTTCTTCGTTGTGCCTGATTTCAGCCCGTAGTATCTCATCTGCTCCTGCATCTGTGTACCATCGGTCCCCCATCCCTGCAAATGTCAGCTCCATGTGACAAGGAGCCTTGTGGGTCTCACTCGCTCTTCCTTTCCAGCACCTAAAACCACTTACCCACCCACAGGCATATACAGAGGATGCACCTCTCAAATATTTATTGAGCCCATGGATGACTCCGTTCCTTGGCGCCTCCCAGAAGCGAGCAGGCGGCAGCCAGGCAGGAGAGCCATCGGTGCGGTCCCCGCCCTGGAGTTCCTGCTTTTACCCTCCTGACACGGAGGTCTCTGTGAGCTCAGAGGCTGCTGTGAGGTGGCCGCTGTGGCCGGCCGCCCACTCCCCGGGCCCCTCCTGTTGGCCCCTGCTAATCTGCTGTTAGCCATCCCAAGTGAACACCAGCATTTACTCATGCCGCACGCTGAACCTGGGAGTGATCACTTATGCGGGTGTGCGCTACCCATGTCCCTGGGGAGGGGTCAGCACCCCCATGGGGATGACATGCCAGGAGGAGGAGTGGTTCCCACGGCTCGATGGCCTCCAAGTGGACGTGCCAAAGACTGCATTGCCGGCATGTGGCTCGGAAGGACCAGTCCTGGCACGGCCGAGCGGACCTCCTCCTCGCTTCTCCTTCCTGTTGCCAGGAGGACGGCGTCCCTGACTGGTAGGATGTATCCTTCCGGGTACGCGGCAGAGAGTGTGCTGAGTGAATGTGTGTGCGTGCATGTGTGTGCGTGTGCTGCTGACGCAGGAGGCCCTGAGAACACGAGGGCAGGGACAGGCAGCTTAACTGGACCTTCCTGCCTGCTCACCAATACAGGTATCTCCCTGCTTCCCGTGGGAACCAACGAAAAGGCTTTGTTACAGACTGCAGATGCCTCACAAATGAGCATTCCATCTCCCAGGAAAAACGTGTCGCCGTCCCTGGTAACAATACCATCTCCACATCAGGAATCACGGTGGAGGCCTGCTCTGTGTGGGAAGTGCGTTTCCGGGAACACGGCGCATGTTAATTTACAGAATTCTCGGAGCACGCCGCATCTTAGGTATTTTTGTTATTAGCAGGGCTCTGAAGGTGGGGCAGTTGAGCAGAAAAGCAAATTCCCAGTCTTGCGCATTTCCTTCCCAGACAGGTACATCAGGGTACCCCGCAGGACTGACTTCACAGGAGACGTCTGGGGGATACCTGCTGTGTTTCCACACTTACAGAAAGGAGGGAAGGATGCTGGATACAGAGTGAACAGGCATGGAGACAACTCTGCCCTTTATTAGCCTCCCTGACCCTTGACGTTCTCATGGCAGAGTGAGATGAGTGCCTGCCTCTCAGAACCCTGGGGATTTGAGTCAGTGTGAGGTCGTGAGAAGACATGTCCAACTGTGTGCTCTCTGTTCACACGAGGTATTGAAAGTGCTTCATCGGGGGGAGGGTGTTGCTCAGGTGGCAGAGCGCATGCTTAGCATGCATGACGTCTTACCTTCAATCCCCAGTACCTCCTTCAAAACTAAATAAATAAGTAAGTGAGTAAAAAAAACTAATTACCCCTGCCTACAAAAAAAAAGTGTTTCATCAACAGACAACCAGGCTCAAGACATGGAAACAACCTAAATGTCCACCGACAGATTACTGGACAAAGAAGGTGTAGTATATTTATGCAAAGTAATATTATTCAGCCATAAAAAAGAATGAAGTAATGCCATTGGCAGCAACATGCATGGACCTAGAGATCGCCATTCTGAGTGAAGATAGAGAAAGGCAAATACCATATGATATCACTCATAATGTGGAATCTAAAAAAAAAAAGACACTAGTGAACTCATCTACAAAACAGAGACAGATTCACAAACACAGTAAATGAGCTTATGGTTGCTGAGGAAAAGGGGGTGGGAAGGGATAAATTGGGAGTTTGAGATTTGTACCTACTAACTACTATATGTAAGAGATAAACAACAAGTTTATACTGTGTATCACAGGGAACTACATTCACTATCTTGTAGTAACCTATAATGAGGGAGAATATGAAAACATGTATGTATGTATGCATGTATATATATGTGACTGAAACATGATGCTGTACACCAGAAATTGACACAATATTGTAAACTGATTATACTTCAATTAAGAAAAGTAGACAACTGCTCAGAAATGAACCCACAAACTTTTGGTCAACTCATCTTTGACAAA